ATTGGTAATTTATGTACTTTTATTAAAGATTGGTAAAGTGTTTTATTAAATAAAGGCAACAGTAGTATACCGCTGTTCGAAACTCATAAATCGATAGAGATAAAAACAAATCCGGGTTACAAACTAAAACTGAGGGAAACGCATCAAATATAAGAGGAGAACAACGACACAACAAAAACACAACATTTAAATGTAACACACACACAGAAACGAACTATAATATAACAATGGCCATTTTCCTGACTTGGTACAGGACATTTTAAGAAAAAAAATGGTGGGTTGAACCTGGTTTTGTGGCATGCCAAACCTCCCGCTTTTATGGCAACGTCAGTTATTAGTTATTTGTCATTATGATTAAAGATCTTTTCATTTTGTTTTCGACATTTATATTGTGATGCTAAGTGTTCCAATCTTAATCTATTGTATTTCATGACATCCTTAAGAAAAAATGCAGTTTGAAACATCAATTACAAGACTTCCAAATTTCTGAATGAGAGTAACCTACAATATTAGTAATGGATGACTTTAATGCAATCTGATTAAAATACAGATCCTGCGTCCAAGCTTTGCTTACAAGGATCTTACAACACTCCGTTTTACCTTCTGTTCTTGAAATAATTACACCAGCCAATGAAATTTCAGCCTTCAAATTTTGAAGGTCTGTATTATTCCGACAAAACCAATAGATCCCGAAACGACTTCATCATTCAAAAAAGTTGTGTAATTATAGGATTTTAAAGTATCTATTACAATATAAAATCAAAGTCTGACTAGACTCTGTTCAAGATATACAATAAAGCACACCATAAACTGAATCATAATTGTCCAATTATCGACGTATATACTGCAAATCTCCTTTTATTCATATTCATTAAAGCATTATTTCGTGCATCCATTTAAACATATATACTAACGATGCGTAAGCATCACATGCAATTAAACCTGTAATTGCTTTAGCAAATGAGAATTGGTAAATCAACAGATATGATTGGAAAATATACTATACCTGTATACTACAATCAATACAAACATAGATACTGTTAATTGATTTGATACTGCGATCTATTACGTTAAAGGTAAATATTTATCTCGTATATTTCATTATTATTTTTTTTTTTTTCTGTAGAAAAAGTATCCCCCAAAATATTTGGATACAGCTCCTTATAAAAAATGCAGTCATTCAGTTTAATGTATTATGTACTTTATCATAAATATCACAGTTAACAAAATATTTGAAAACATCGTTGTGTTTACGTAAAAACAAATACAAAAAACTCGAAAATTTCTATATGTATGTGAAAGGAAATGAGCTCAGATAGTTAAATACTAGTATGACGAAGGAGTAAAAAGTAAAATAACAAAAATACCGAACTCTAAGGAAAATTTTAAACGGAAAGTCCCTTATCAAATGGCAAAATCAAAAGCTCATACACATCAAATTCGTTAGAAAAAAAAGTTTTGATGATTATGGCCACTTTTCCCCTCTGTTAGCTCACTTTATCAGAGAGATTAGATCCCTTCAAATTAATATTTTTTTAACATATGGGGAAGGAGTCAATCTATGTACCTATAGCTTTGTACTGAAATCATAATAATGGATTTAGAGCAGGTTTTCATTTCTCATACATTTTGGAATGAATTCTACTTTCATTGTATATGTTTGAATGGCTTAGTTAATTTGTCCTTCATTTTGCGCCTTTTTTATTTGGCTTCACCTGTACTGTGCTGCATCACGTATGTATGACGTATCTTCTTTTCAAAATAAGCAGATGTTTTATGATTGTAAAGAAGACAATCCTACACTTAAGGTTAAGAATAAAAAGTTAATATCTCCAGTCCTTGGCAGATTTTTATCTTTCCTGTGTTGGTGATAATCAAAATGAGTACTAACTATCATAAAATTAGAAGAAAACCCTCAAACAATTGAATATCAATGACAGCACGTGTTCTCAATGATAAAGCGAATACTACTCCCTTCCCTTTAAAAAAATACGAAACAAAAACAAAGCAAAACATAAATAAAACAAAACAAAACAAAACAATACAAAATAAAAACAAAACAAAACAAAACAAAACCAATTGAATATTTCACATTTTAGCAATAATTGCATGCAATTGAATTTTTCTTTCGTGCTACATACTTAGTTTGCTTCGGTCAACGCTTTTAACCCCCAATAACACTACAAAAGAAACATTTATCTGTTGAAGTACAAAACAATAATTTATAAGTAAGTTGCAGAGGTGGTTTTGTTGTTCATAGATGTCTTTATTTATATAAAACAAAACAAAATATTACAAAACGTACCGGAGGCAGGCAGTTGTATGATCTTGTGGAAAATAAAAATAGAGAGGGCCGCATGAATCAACTGCTTCACCTATAAAATTGTAATTGTACGAGCAATACCAGGTTAAATAAAGACTATAAGTTATAACAATTGCGAGCTTCATATAAGATATACGTAAAACAGATATAAACAAAAATAGGACACCATGCCCAGTGACTCACACTATCACATGTTTAGTTAACCTCAAAGTCAGTCAAACCTTAATTTGGTATATAATTTAAAAATTGCATATCTTGATGATAAACATGATTATGTACTAATTTTCAAGATGTTGTGACTTCAACTGCATGAGTTACTAATTTTTTAAAACTTTAACCCGATACGGGACGAATAGACGTACAGACGCACACACCGAAAACACATAACGCTCTCTCTATAATTGTGGGAAACGGGGTTTAATAAAACAAGAAAAGAAAAAGATAACCATTCATGTCGATGAACCTGTTGTTTAGAATAGTAATACGGACAATAACACCATAAGATTTGAATTTCAAATAAGAAATGTAAACAGATATGAAATACTGATTTTTATAGTTTGTTCTTATGTTGTGCTGTTACACCACAATCCCAGGTAAGGGGGACGGTTTGGCGCCAAAAACTAGTCTAACCCCGCCACATTCTGTATGTTCCTGTCCTAAGTCAGGAACCTGTAATTCAGTGGTTGTCGTGTGTTGCTGTATATCATATTTGTTTTTCGTTCATTGTTTTGTACTTACATCAGGCAGTTTGTTTTCTCGTTTGAATTGTTTAACATTTAACATTTCGGGGCCTTTTAAAGCAGACTATGCGGTATGAGTTTTGCTCATTGTTGAAAGCCGGCCGGTGATCTATAGTTGTTAACTTCTTTGACATTTGATATCTGGTGGAGAGTTGTCTCATTGGCAATCATACTACATCTTCTTATTTTCATATTATTTAAATTAGGTGAATGATGACAAGAGTTTATTAAAGTTGACGCTCGATGGACTGTTTTCAACTTCTAGTTGGCAATTTTTTGATCAATAAAATTTAATGGAAATTAAAAAGCAAATCTAACAGAAAATCAGAAAAATCAATTAGAAGCTAAATCCAATAAATTAAATATCAATTGCATGTAATATCAAAACCTAATGCCAGAGTGTAGGTCAAAAAGAGCGTATGGATTAATGAGAGATACATAAAAGTCCCATATGAGATCGAATATCTTCAAAATATACAGTTACGCTGCACAATGATTTATCTATATAAAAGAAAGAAAAGACTTAAAACTTAAAATACAAAATATTAAAATGAATAACTTCTTTTTAACTACCCCCCCCCCCCCCACCAGGGTGACTGGGGAATAGAAGTATGGTCACCATTGGTCTTCCTCCGACCTGCAGTAAAACCCTTGCTAAAGTGGGGCGTCCGTTTGGCTGTGCGGGATGTACAAATTTGCAGCCACGTCTGGTCAGAATGGGGACGTTACATCCGATGCCTCATGTAAAGAGAGTGCCACGCTCTTTGCACGTTAAGAACCCTTGCAACAACTCTTTGAGGGGTCCGTAGGTGACCTGTTGCAAGGCTAAATTTCTGTCCCTTTCCAATATACCCTCAATTCCCGTGGCAGTCTAAATTTCTCCGACCGTAATCCCGGACGTCCCTCTTACAGAACCTACCTACTTGGGGTGAACTCAGGTACACCGGGCGGGTAAGCAGATCCAGCTCCATATGTGCCTTCCGTCGTGTTTCTCATCTAAGTACAAACCCCGGTGATAAGTCTAATTCGGTAGGATAAATCTTGCTTGCCGAGACGTCGGAAAAGGGGTGTTATCAAAAGTTTGTATTATTCTGTTCTTTCTTTCTGCAACCTAAATAAAAAGGGTGACGGTTAAAACGTATTTAACTAGACTTTAGGAAATTTAAAGCTTGGCATATGCTGCGCGAGCTTGTTAATTGTCAATTCTGTATAGTGGCATCTGGTTGTTAAGAATGGCTAACTTATGTTATTAGATTGCTGTCTTATTTAAGATTATCTCACATTCCTTTCTACTTCATCTCTATTCAGCACTTCTGTGTATCTATGATGAGTTTATTGGTAATTTATGTACTTTTATTAAAGAATGGTAAAGTGTTTTTATTAGTTATTTGTCATTATGATTAAAGATCTTTTCATTTTGTTTTCGACATTTTTATTGTGATGCTAAGTGTTCCAATCTTAATCTATTGTATTTCATGACATCCTTAAGAAAAAAAAATGCAGTTTGAAACATCAATTACAAGACTACCAAATTTTTGAATGAGAATAACCTACAATATTAGTAATGGATGACTTTAATGCAATCTGATTAAGATACAGATCCTGCGTCCAAGCTTTACTTACAAGGATCTTACAACACTCCGTTTTACTTTCTGTTCTTGAAATAATAACACCAGCCAATGAAATTTCAGCCTTCAAATTTTGAAGGTCTGTATTATTCCGACAAAACCAGAGGATCCCGAGATGACTTCATCGTTAAAAAAAGTTGTGTAATTATAGGATTTTAAAGTATCTATTACAATATAAAATCAAAGTCTGACTAGACTCTGTTCAAGATATACAAATAAAGCACACCATAAACTGAATCATAATTGTCCAATTGTCGACGTTTATTCAGCAAGTCTCCTTTTATTCATTAAAGCATTATTTCGTGCATCCATTTAAACATATATACCAACGATGCGGAAGCATCACATGCAATTAAACCTGTTATGGTTTTAGCAAATGAGAATTGATAAATCAACAGATATGATTGGAAAATATACTATACCTGTATACTACAATCAATACAAACATAGATACTGTTAATGGATTTGATACTGTGATCTATTACGTTAAAGGTAAATATTTATCTCATATATTTCATTATTATTTTTGTTTTTTTTGCTGTAGAAAAGGTATCCCCCAAAATATTTGGATACAGCTCCTTATAAAAAATGCAGTCGTTCAGTTTAATGTATTATGCACTTTATCATAAATATCACAGTTAACAAAATATTTAAAAACATCGTTGTTTTTATGTAAAAACAAATACAAAAAAACTCGAAAATTTGTATATGTATGGGAAAGGAAATGAGCTGAGATAGTTAAATACTAGTATGACGAAGGAGTAAAAAGTAAAATAACAAAAATACCGAACTCCAAGGAAAATTCTATACGGAAAGTTCCTTATCAAATGGCAAAATCAAAAGCTCTTACACATCAAATTCGTTAGAAAATAAAGTTTTCATGATTATGGCCACTTTTCCCCTTTGTTATCTCACTTTATCAGAGAGATTAGATCCCTTCAAATTTATATTTTCTAACATATTGGGAAGGAGTCAATCTATGTACCTATAGCTTTGTACTGACATCTTAATAATGGATTTAGAGCAGGTTTCCTTTCTCATACATTTTGGAGTATCTTCTACTTTCTTTGTATATGTTTGAATGGCTTAGTTCATTTGTCCTTCGCTTCTCGCCTTTTTTATTTGGCTTCACCTATACAGTGCTGCATCATGTATGTTTGACGCACCTTCTTTTCAAAATAGGCAGATGTTTTATGACAACATGTAAACAAGACAATCATACACTTAAGGTTAAGAATAAAAAATTAATATCTCCAGTCCTTGACAGATTTTTATCTTTTCTGTGTTGGCGATAATCAAAATGAGTTTAATAGTTTTTATTTCATTAGATTGTAATCAAATGTGACGTCTGTCCTTTGGTTTCGCATAGTGGGATATGAAAAAAGCGACAATATATGATGACGTCACATAGAAAGAACCGTGACATTTTTTTCGTATGAATATCATAAGTGAAAATTGTCAAAGAGTATCTGTATGTCGTCCTAACATTGAATGAGAAACTTTAACACTACATAATTTCGACAAACCTCGATAAGCATTATACTAGTATAAGACTGTAAAAGAATTTGTATTGTCTTAAAATCAAAGTAACCTCCAATTGTTGGACATTTGATTCTGGACTACCAATCAAAGACCACAAATTGTAAAAGCGATGATCAGAACCGCATAGCCTATTAAATGAGTGTGTTGTCATAGAGAGGACGATTAGAAAAGCAATCAAAATGCCGGAATTTTAGATGAAGTTTCTGAAAACAGCGCGTCATTAACAATGCAAACGACGACGTTAACTATATTGGTATAATAAACACATTGTTTTATTAATTGCAAACCAAATAAAATACCTTCACTGTTTCATACATCACACTGATAATTAATCAATGTATATGCAAGGAAGTATCGAATTTGTCTGACTAACTCTTCCCATGGGATTATTGTCAAACATTCGTATAATTTAGAGCTTACAGATGATATAATTGTTGGGAGTTGTTTTTATGTAAGTCCCGTTACAAGAAAAACTCCTGTGATTGTATCCATTTATATCCAAACATTATAACATAAGAGTAACTTGTATTAAAACATATTAATTTTACATAAATGATGTTTAGTTATAAATAATTAAAAAGAAACAATAAAACAGTAATAGTCGCCTTCCCCTCTTCGCAGCTGTTATTGGCTTTGAATTTTTCTTGCCATTTCTAAATTCTAATTTAAGACCTTTCGGTGACCGTAGACGTTTTCATCCTTTCAATATTAAATCAAGGCAGCTAAACCAAAATATTGTTTTCATAAGAGTATTTTTCATTTTGATTTTTTTAAGTAATTCTTAATCTGTGTTCACTAAAGAGAGATAATGTTAGCAATCTTACAAAAATGGAGCCATTTATAATGTGCTTCTAATCATCTAAATATGGCCATAACACCTTTTTTCGGTTTAGTAGTTGAATATTTAGAGTCATATGTCTTCACAACTAATTATCCATCACGGTGTATAACATGCTTTACTATATATTGTATATAATAGAGAATCACCGTCTGCGTAAACACAATTTACATTGTATAGCAAATTATCTCTTAGGTAAGGTTGTTACTTATATGATTGATATATTATTGTTAATTATCACCGATATCTGATAATATTGTGTTTTGTATCCTCTAAAACACAAAGTTATATTCATTCTTTGCTATTTTGTTGAAAATATCAGTTTAATGTGATTCGTGCAAAGTTTGTTCGTAAACAGTATATTGTTAATGAAATGTACGACTTTATTTTACTCAAAAGAATTTGCTTATGACTAAAGATATGTTCTTGAATGACGATTATTTCGATGGAAAGAAATTACAATCTTGGTGCGAGGTCAGAATAACGAGAGGTCAGCAAAATTAGGAACAAAATAATTAAACACTCGATTATTTACAAAGAACACTTTATAATTTACTGGGTTTAAGTAGAACTCTTTCGAAACATAATTTCAAAACATTTGTTTTTATGTTGTTCTGTTACACTACTGTCTCAGGTTAGGAGATGGTTAGCGCCTTCAAAAAGATGTTTAACCCCGCCACATTCGTTTTGAGTCTGTCCCAAGTCAGGAGCCTGTAGTTCAGTGGTTGTCGTAGGTGCATGTATGTCATATTTGCTTTTCGTTAAAAAGAATTTGGCATAAATTAGGCAGCTAGTTTTCTAAATTGAATTGTTTCATACCTTTCATGTCGGGGCCTTTTATAGCCGACTATACGGTATTGGTTTTTCTAATTGTTAAAGGCCGTACAGTTACCTTTAATTGCTAACATCCACTTTATTTGAACTTTGGTGGATAGTTGTCTCATTGGCAATCATACCTCATCTACTTATTTTCATACAATTGTTGGGTGTTATTTTGCTTTTATGTAAGTCCTGATACAAGTAAACTTCTGTGATTGTTTTCATTTATATCCAAACATAATAACATAAGAGTAATTTGTATTCAAACATATTAATTTTGCATAAATGATATTTAGTTATAAATAATTAAAAAGAAACAATAAAACAGTAATAGTTGTCTTCTCCTTGCCTCAGCTTTTATTGGCTTTGACTTTTTTGTTGCCATGGCGTTTTCAATTTGTCTTCGACTTATGAGTTTGAATATCTCTTTAATATCTTCTCTGTTTTGTCTTTAAATTAAATTTGCTTTAGTAAATTTACCTGCAGACATTTCTATATTTAATGGTAAATATTTCATTCAATTCATACAGGAAAAGACTTAAGGATATTTTTTTAAATGTTTTATATGATATATATATATAGTGAAATTTTCAAATGATGAACTATATTTGATCTCTAATTTAAGGCCTTTCGGTGACCGTAGTTTTTTTTTTCATTTTTTACATATTGAGTAAAGGCAGCTGAACCAAATTATTGTTTTCATAACAGTATTTTGCATTTTTGATTTCTAAGTAGTTGTAAATCCGTGTTTTCTAAAGAGAGATAATGTTTAGCAATCTTACAAAAATGGAGCCATTTATAATGTGCTTCTAATCATCTAAATATAGCCATAACACCTTTTTTCGGTTTAGTTTTTGAATATATAGAGTCAAAGTTCTTCACAACTAATTATTCATCACGGTATATAACATGCTTTTCTATAAATTGTATATAATAGAGAATCACCGTCTGCGTTAAAAACAATTTATAGCAAATTATCTCTTTGGTGAGGTTGTTACTTATATGGTTGATATATTATTGTTAATTATCACCTATATCTGATAATATTGCTTATGACTAAAAGTATGTTCTTGTGTGACGATTATTTCGACGGAATAAAATTACAATTTTGGTGCGAGGTCAGAAGAACGAGAGGTTAAGTAGAACTCTTTCGAATCATCCTTTACTTTCTTAACATTTGTTATTATGTTGTACTGTTACACTACTGTCTCAGTTTATGGGATGGTTGGCGCCTTCAAACATGTTCAACCCCGCCACATGTGTATGTCTGTTCCAAGTCAGGAGCCTGTAGTTCAGTGGTTGTCGTTGGTGCATATATGTCATATTTGTTTTTCATAAATTGTTTTAGTATAAATTAGGCAGCTAGTTTTCTTAATTGAATTGTTACATATTGTTCATGTCGGGACCTTTTATAGCACTAAAAGAAACGAATCGAAAATCTAATTATTTTGCAAAAGTTGAAGATTAGACCGTATATTCATCAAACTAATTTATCCTTCTCGAAAAGTTAAGTATCTGTAGTTTCGCAAACATTACATACGAAATGTGTTGATTGTTTTACCCACGGATTCTAGTTGGTTTGTATTAGTTCATGAAAATTATCTGAAGTTGGATGTAAATGTGAAGCAAACTTATAGGTTTACTTACAAGGGAATATTAAGAGAGATAAAGAATATTTTATTATTTTTTTTCAGTTACAATGGCGACAGTAAATGTTCCTTCTGTGTCAAAGAAAACATTATCAACTATATCAGTTTTCGATAAAAATACAGTTGACATAAAAGTCGACCATTCTTCAAAAAATGCAACTGTAACATATGATAACCAGACAACAAAAACTGGAACTAATCAATTTGCAGAAAAACCTGCAGGAAAGATAAAAGGAATGATATCGGATCTTGAACTCATGTGATGGACAAAGACTATACATGAATATGTGTGTTAACATAAGATTAAAATGAAGCCTTTCCGGTTTTTTTCTGCAATGTGAATTTGATTTCTACTTTAGCATACATTTCCATTTTTATATTTGTATTTTCATGTTAAATAAGAAAGAAAATACAACGCTCGATTTGTTTATATCTAAACATTAGATCTGTTATCAAATTAAACATGTTGGTAAATATGTGCTTTGTTTGTACATGATTATCAAGGCACCCATGTCTTGCGCAAATAAATAGCGACGAAGGAAAGCCAACGCTTGAATGTCATTATTTTTGTAACAAAAAATACGCATGTTGTATATATGTGTTATTTAAGTTGAGGATTAAATGCTTACAAACAAGTTCAATCACGCCATATTCTGTATGTGTTTGTCCAAAGCCAGGATCCTGATGACCAGTGGTTGTCGTATATCATAATTGTTTTTAGTTTAATGTTGTACACTGAAGTCATGCCGCTAGGTTTATCATTTGAATCGTTAAAATTTTGGTATTCCTGGGCCTTTTATTTTCTACCACAAGAATATGTAACGTTAGCTGTCTTTGGTTAAACCTTTACGAATGTTGGGTCCTCAATGCTCTTCAATTTTTTTACTTTATTAGAAAAAAGTAAAATCACAAAAATACTGAACTCCGAGGAAAATTCAAAAAGGAAAGTCCCTAATCAAATGGCAAAATCAAAAGCTCAAACACATCATACGAATTGATAACAACTGTCATATTCCTGACTTGGTACAGGCATTTTCTTATGTAGAAAATGGTGGATTGAACCTGGTTTTATAGCTAGCTAAACCTCTCACTTGTATGACAGTCGCATCGAATTCCATTATATTGACAACGATGCGTGAACAAAACAAACAGACACAATAGGTAAAAATGTCAAAAATAGGGGTACAGCAGTCAACATTGTGTTATCATCTTAATCACTATAAAAACAAACAAATATAAAACAAAGAAGCACAGAAAGGCATACATCAGATTTAACATCCTCATTTTGCTTTTTGATTATACGATTTTATTTATCTATGTAAGATCCACCCATAAAGGATGGAAGGTTTTAAGTACTGGCGTAGAATCGCGCGTTTGACGTCACACAGGTAGATATAAAATTATTTTGTCGTTCAAAGTATGATGGGGTACATAAGTACAGAGCCACGTCAAATGGATATCACAAAAAACAGACTTAACAGTAAAAGTAATATTAATAAAGACAAATAAAAGAATACTATAACACTTTATTAAGATGATAAACAACGTCAGTACGCAGAATCTATTCTTCAAGATCATCGTGTATTATTTGTGAATATTTATCAACAAGGTCTTGGTACCTTCCGATGAACTTTTTTTAGAAAAAGGACGAGACGTTCTTTGACATACCCCTGGTTCATCAACTTTCTACTCAGACACTGGTGACGTTTTACAAAGTCTGAGTAGGAGCTGCAAGCTCTTGAATACCGAATAAGTTTGGAAATGTATATCCCATATGCAGGTGAAGTTGATATATTGCTACTAAGGTGGGGGAAATTGATAATTTCAAAATTAAAATCGTCTTGTTTGTCATAGATTCTGGTACTGAGATGACTGTGTATGTCAAATTCGAGGTATAAGTCTACAAATGAGGCGGAGGAAGCCGTGTCTGTTGTTTCTTTAATTTCTAGTTCTGGGGGATATATTAATGGAACCCAATCAGAAAAGTTCGGATTGTAAATGGAAAGAACATCATCAATATATCTGAAAGTGAAATTAAACAACCTGGCTTCTTTGATCTTTTTGTTTTTGACAAGTTTCTGAAGGAACTCCGATTCATAAGAAAATCAGAAGAGGTCAGCAAGGAGAGGCGTACAGTTCGTTCCCATAGGAATGCCGATAATTTGTTGAAAAAGTCTACCTCCAAATTCAACAAATATGTTGTCATTAAGAAACTCCAGCATACTGATCACTTGTTCCTCTGTGTAGCATGTTTTACCCTTTTGTTCACTATTAACAAAATATGCCTTATGGTATCCCAAAGTAATAAATTTATAGCGTATGCTACCATTTTTATGTTGAAAAAAATTGTGGATTATTTCTTTTAGACGGTTTTTCAATTTCACATGGGGAATGATGGTATACAAGGTTGAAAAATCAAAAGTTTTGATAGAACTAATTTCAGAAAAAGACCGAGATTTAAAATTATCCAGAAGTTCTTTAGAGTTTTTAAGAATCCACATATGGTTAATACCACTACGCGAGTAAACAGTTTCACAGTATTTCTGAAGACCCTCTTTCACTTCGGACAGAATTTAAGTCAATCTAATGGACAATTCTTTAGTGGAACTTGCAGATCAGCCGGCAATGTACCGTTGTTTGTACGGAATTTGTGAAGTTTAGGTATCCAATACAAACAAGGAAAGTCCTCCGATTTGTTGTTCAATGCAATGTTAATTGAAGCCATGAAGGACTTATGATTCGCCAAAATCTCATCCTTGTCAAATGATTTGTTTTTATATGTGGGATTACCTGAGTGCTCATTTATTCCTAATTCTTTTACAAGACACTCGTAGTGATACGATTTGCATACAAAGACAATATTATTCGAAGCTTGTCCGCGGGAACAACAACATACTTATCATGAAGAGATGATAGACATTTCACAGCCTCTTTCTCTCTGAAAACGGACATCGATCATTCACACAGTTTTTTCAACTTATGAATGCGACGTTTTATCAGAGACCTGATTGTTTTGACCCATTCTGACAAAGTGTCCAGTTTAACTTCTTCTCGTTTAGCCCATGCTATGTCGTAGACCTCAATGGAATCCATAATTATTTTGAAGTTATGGTTCCAATTGATGTGTTGGGGTTCTCTAAACTTAGGACCGTGAAAAATCACCTTTCGGAGATTTTCATGTTTAATTATGTTTAGATCCCCAGTAATTACTGGAGGGACTGTAATTGTAAGGCGAGTGGGAACAGTCACATGTCAGAGGTTTTTTTTTAGGTATTGTTCTAAATCAAGGTGCTGTAATGCTCGTTTATAGTTAAATATTTTGGGTGCAATGGTTATGGTGTAATTGTAGGATACAATAGGAACAGACTGATTTTGAAAATAAATAGGAATTTTAGATGTTACCTCCTTGTGATGTAGAACGTTGCTGATGTTGATTGCATCAATTCCTCTATTGGTAAACAGGAAGGAATTTCCTCTTTTCCTCATGTAAAGGTTCCGATCTTACTGGCTTAAAAAGACGGAAAAGAGCTACATCACAAATTATACTGACAAGTCTGTATATTGGAGAAAATGTATTTATGCATACTTTGTCAAGTGCATAATCTCTCAAAGATTTTAGAAAATTAACAGGTAGAAAAGAATAGTTCTAATGTAATGTTACCATAGCGGATGATGAAGATGAGAAAGAAGGTCATCAAAGCTCCAAGAGGGCGATCTAGATTTGGAAGACTTTTTTACATTAGGCTGATGGTAATGTTTTTGCCCATGACTACGTTGGTTTCGTAAGGTAGTATTAAATAAACTCATTACATTAACACCACTGCAGGCTGGTTTTGACAAATTTCCTACTCTTTTGACATTATCATTGCAAACATATGGCATTGCAGTACCTAGTTCCCTTATCCAGAAATTTTCTCTATCTTTCGGCAAGGAGTACTAAGTACAGGACTATTTGTGTGGTGATAAATTTTCTCGATGATGCGTACTTTCATAGATAAAGAAGGATCATGTTCCGGTTGATTTAAATGGTTATAAAGAACCCTGAATTGCGGATCATTATTATCAGACTGGTGTTGATTCATCCTTTTACGCAAAGTTTGTCGAGTTTCACCAACATAAAGAAGTCCACACAAAGTACATTCAATTCCGTACACGACATTGTCCGTGGAACAGTCCAGAGGCTCGAAAGATTTAGTATAATACGTTTATCCTGTTAAATAACTGGTAAAATCAGGAGTCGTGACTAACATTTTACATGTCTTACACGTGCTCCTTTTCCTTTTTTTTGTGTTTACAAGAAGAAATGATAGGTGTTGATTCACTCGTAGCAGGTGTATTCAAACAGTCTATAATATAAACGGAAAATGGCTTTAATTTATGAAAAGTATCTGAATTTTTAAAGTTGTAATTACCTTCTGGCTGAACGTACGTCAAATCAGGGGTATCCCGGAGGATATTCCTGTGGAACACACAAATCAAATGCTACAGTGTTCCGTGCAGCAAAAGAGGACCTTGTTAACCCGGGCGACTTCCCAGCCTTTTTAACTTATTTTATTTGAGCGTCACTGCTGGGACTTTTGTAAACGAAACGCGTGTCTGTCGTACTAAATTTTAAGCCTTGTATTTATAATGAATTTATTTAGTAAGAGTAAATGGATTTTAAATATTGATAATTTAAAAATTTAAAAAGAATGAAATGCCACTAACAGTGTCCCCGTTGCATTATCAAATATGTACAAATAAAAATATTTCATACACTCTGTTTGAACACAATTCTCCACTTTGGAAATTTAAAATCCTCACCATCTATTGCCAAAATTTGGAATCCCTGACTTTCAATATACTTTAATTTATCTTCAAAGCCCCATCCGATCCCATGACCAATCGCTGGCTTTTCTGACATACTGTTAGGTAAACATGTGAATACGCTGTAAGGCATACACTCTACTGCGTCGTTATAACCAACATTTTTCATGTGATCAGAGTAAACAGGTGGATCAAAAGCTTTAACATAACCACCAGGTTTCAATATTGTTCTGAAATTCGCCATAATTGTGTTCGGGTCCGCAGATCATGTAATACATCTGACATAATAATAATGTCGAATTTGTCTTTTAAAAAATCTGGCATATTTCCATCAACCTTTTTCTCAAAAAAAACATTCGAACAAGAGGTCTTTTGGGCTTTCTTCCTATAAGCATCAATTGTAGCTTCGTCTATATCTACACCCCATATCAAATTAAATGCTTAATTAAACACTAATGTACAAATGCAAAAGAGAGGCGAAAGATACCAAAGGGACATTAAAACTCATAAGTCGAAAATGAACTGACAACGCCATGGCAAAGAATGGCAACGCCATGGCAAAGAAAAAAAAAGACAAAATAAAAAAAAAAATAAAAAAAAAATAAAAAACATTAAAAACTAAAGACTGAACAACACGAACCCCACTAAAAACCTAGGGTGATCTTTCTTC